AAAAAAAAGCTCCCCCAAAAAGGACGGTTCTTCACTTCAGCTGTGTGTCGCCCCCCCCCCCCCCCCAGTATGGAGCAAAAATGGGCCCTCATGGATGCGGCTGGGATTTTCATCTCATTGGTGTTGGCCAAAATATGGAATGGGAGCCAGGTGTGGATGGGTGCAGATGATTTCATGGGGGTAGGACGTTCCAGAAATAGAATAGTAGTGGTGCTGTGATGACCCAAAGGGGCGTGGCACAAAGGCAACACAGCCAGATAAGCAATAAGAGTCCCTTTATTATCTCCAACTTTGCCCCCAATGTCCAGGTTACCTTCGGGCTGGAGAAAAACTCTCACAGAAACAGCCTTTGACTCTAGAAAATTCAGTCCAAAACAGGGTAAACACAAACTGTAACTTAAAAGTCCAAACAAGCCAAACTGAAGTAATTAGTTTGGCAGGGCAGGAGCAGGAATTTCAAACTTGAAAGCACAGCAAAACTCAAACAGTTGGGAAGACGCCAGGAACACAGATAAGCCACAACAATACAAGGTAAAGTCACATTTGCTCCCAACAACCTGCTGTACGCAGCTTGCCTTTTTTATACACTGTGTTCCTAAGTGCAGCTAATGAAGGGAATCAGGGCCCTTTCCTCCCCCATAAGCCACGCATCCACATTGCTCTCTTCTCTGTTCCTCCCTGCGTGCCCTAGGATGAAGAGCGGGTGGGCCTGGATCTTCCTCTGAACTCCCTCTCCCTTGCTCTACCTCTCCCCAGCTCTGCCCAGCCGGACTTTGCCCTTCCCCAGTTTCCTCCACAGCCAACGGAGCCACACTCCCACTCCCTGTCAGCTGTTCGGCTTCCCCCTCCGAGTCAGATTATGACAGGTGCTTGGAAGTAACGTTGACCCAGGTGTGTTGAAAGTTTGGAGGCCATCACCCTGGTCGAGTGTTTCAAGAAGAAGCTGCAATTCTCGCGTTCCCCAGGAGATAAGCGAGAAGGAGGTTGCGGGGAGGTCTCCAGAGAAGCTCACCGAAGTAAAATGAGTGGCTCTTCTTGTTTATTACCCTGTTCAGCCTCACCTCGCCCTGTCCAAAACTCATCCATTGGAACGGAAGGAACAAACATCTCAAAAGCATTTCTCTCTGGCCACTGACTCGAGTGCCAGGGGAGATGAGTCTGTGTTCAAGTTGAAGCACAACAACTGAAGTCTTGTCTTCCTTTTTTTTTTTTTTTCCTTCTTCTCCAGAAGTGCTCTTCAGTGGCATTGTATTTTTTCAGGTGTGTTGCGTCGTTTTGAGGGTACAAGTCGAAACAGTTTATGTCCAGGATGTGAGGGGTCTGTAAATATTTTCACAACAGAAGATGAGGTCCTAAGCCAGGGGTCTTAGGACCCTTGTCCTAAGAGGTAGCAGCTGACCAGAGATTTCAGGACACAGGATGTCTGTCTGAATCCAAGTAAGTCCTAGGGTGAAACCAAGCTTGAAATAGTAGTTTAACTAGGCCACTCACATCTGGGTTGGATCCCTGGACAGTTCGTGACAACCAAGTTACCACCCTGGTTGTTATCTATGTGGCAGGGTGAGATCTTATAGACATGTGGATTGTAATAAACCTCAGTGTGTAATTATTTTCAAGGTTCAGGGTTTTTTTGTCTGTTTGCCCGAGGGTCTTCAAACTTGGCAAGTTTAAGACTTGTGGACTTTTAACTCCCAGAATTCCTGAGCTAACATGAATGGAGGAGGAATTCTGGGAGTTGAAGTCCACAACTCTTAAAGCTGTCAAGTTTGAAGACCCCTGATGTAGACTCACACAGAAACTTCTTGCTTCTATGACTTTGAAAGGAAATTACTTGAGTGCCCCCCCCAGATGTTCCTCTACATGAAAAGCCAGGATGTATACCTTGTCTTGAGGTTTGAAAGAAAGGATCTCTCTGCCCTGCCATCCTCAATTTTCCTTTACCACCTCCATTAAGGGAGGATTATTCAAGCCAGCCAGTCTCTCATACTGACTGATTGGATTTCCTGAAGTTCCATGTGACGATGAAGAGTTGTCAACAGAACTTTGAAGAACTCCCCCTTCTTCTAAGATCTCTGATACTTCTTTGCCTTCAAGGTTGCTGTTGACTGTCTTTACCAACAGACTGATGAAGAGATATAACCTGGTTCCTGACAGCTCTTTAAAAGCCTGGGAGATTATTTCCTGAACTAGCACTTGAGAGCTGAATGGCTTGATTTAAAGACTCTGTCTTTGTGCTTTGAAAGGTTGTGTCTTTGTGCTTTCTGCGGGTCTCTCCTTGCTGGGGGCACCTCCCTGAATGAGCTGTGGTCTTCTGTTTCTGTTTGAGGTTGGCCCTTCTAATTTCCCCCCTACCCAAGCATTTTCCTCCCCTTCCTCCCAATGATGTGCCAAAGATGCTTTTTCAAGAGGCAACTGGATTTTCTGGTTTTTCTTTTGAAGACATTCTGCTTCTCATCCAAGAAGCTTCTTTGGTTCTGACTGGATGGTGGGGAATGGAAGGTTTTATACTCCAGTTGCCTCCTGAAAAAGTGCCTTTGGGACAACCAAAAGGGCCCAGCAGAGATGATACGACCTGAGACTTCTCAGGAAACAACAACTGGATGGAAAATTGCTGGTCACCTTCTATCGCTGCACCATAGAGAGCATCTTAACTTACTGCACCTCTGTAGGGTTTGCCAATTGCAGAGTGGCAGATAGGACAGCACTCCAGAGGGTTAACGTCTTTGCCCAGAGGATCATGGGTTGCCCTCTCCCCTCTTTGGAAGAGCTTTATAGCTCCCGCTGCCTTAAGAAAGTTCAAAACATTCTCAAAGATCCATCTCATCCTTTGATGGTGTCGGCGGCGATTCTGTCCGTCAATTGCAAATGATACAGAACAGGAGACTGCAAAACAATAAAATAAAAATTAAAAAAAAATCAGTGCCCTGTGTTTGGGTGGAAGGAATATTCATGAAGCTGTCCCAAGAGCCTTTGGAGCAAAAAGACAGTGTATAAATTGAAAAGGAGGGGGAGGAAAAGAAGAAAGGTTAACCATGCCAGCTTCTCAAAACTGAACAGGAACTGAACTAGATTTCTACACACACACACACACACACACACACACACACACAAAATAGGCACGGGAGACCTTCACTGCTCTCAAGAAGGAGACGTGAGGTTGAAGACGGAAAGCAATTTAAGTTTGGAAACCGATGGCTTGACTCCATGACACACCGCTGGGTTCTGCAGCCGTCGAATTGGGATGCAAAGGGAAGAGCATTCAAATGGGGTAGACGTTCCCTTTTGTGGCCCTTTCTCATCTTCGGTCAAATTGCATCGTGACACTTGGGAGACAGAATGGAAAAGAGAAAAATCGCTGTTTGAGGCGGCTGGAGACGGTGAGAGGTGACCCAGCTTGGCTCTTGGGAAATTGGTTGATCAATATTCTTCGAGTGGTAGGCTGACCCCATGGATGGAAGGCAGTTTTGCATCTCTTCCCTCCTCTGATGGTCAACTAGAGGCCGATTTCACTTGGAGACTGTGTTTGTGCCTCATGCACAACATCATGTGTCTCTGAGCCAATGAAACTGCTTTTGGAGCACGCGGGGACCCTGGAGGTCAGGGTTGTGTTGGCCAACCTCAACCTAGAGTCCATGGTCCTATCGCCTCCCATCACCCAGGCAGCCTTGCATTTGAGAACAGAATCTATTTGGTCTAGTGGTTAAGGCACCAGGCTAGAAACAGGGGACAGTGAGTTCTAGTCCCCCATCAAGCATGAAATCCAGCTGGGTGACCTTGGGCCAATCACCAGGAGACAGTGAGTTCTAGTCCCACCTTAAGTATGAAAGCCAACTGGGTGACTTTGGACCAATCACCAGGAGACAGTGAGTTCCAGTCCCG